GTCTGAAAGCAGAGTCCCCTAGAAATGAAGCCCCTGGAATGATGCCCTGGGAAGAGCGATTGACTGCTTGAGAGACGGCAAGGAACTCAGCAGATTTTTCTAGTACAGGCAGCAGAGTGGGCCTGGTTGTCTGCTGCTTCCACCCCAGAGTTGTTACACAGTTGTATATATGTAGGTGTATGCTGTATGTTGCATGGGATATAACATCAAGCTTCCATCCTTCCTCATGCGTCCTGCAGTATTTTACACTTGGTTTGTTAAAAGTTCACGTGAGACTTAACAACCCATGAAAACCTGCTTGTCCTCATTGTCCACCACTGAATATGTCTCTGCCTCCCGCCATCACACACACCAGAATATTCAGCAGCTTTAAATAGCGGCTGCAGGCATTTTTGTCCTCCTTGTCCAGATGATGCTGTCTGGAAGTTTAGAATGTGCGACATTCAGCCGTCTGCCAGACGGGATCATGGATATCCCACACCCTGGCGTGCTGGAAGCCTATACCGGTGGGAAGATCCTGATATTGGATCTTGAGGCAGGGGCTAGGCTGCAGATGCTCTCTCCTGTAAAGCTTCTAGACATTTGGCCTCATGCTATTAAGTATCAGATCAAAGCATTGCCCCTTGCGGTGCTAATGAGGGCAAGCGAATAGTATTCCTATCTGAAAGGTGCAGGAGCGAGGGCTGCGAATCAGTTCCTTCCTTATTTGCTATAAAACACCTAGACATTGGGCTGATAATGGGAGAAAATGTTTGTTCCTATGAACACTGGCCTTTAAGCTTGTGGATGTGCTGCTGGGCCTCCCAGCTAGAGCTTTCTGAGCAGGAAGGGTAAAAGTTGTGAAAAACGTTACCAGCTTAACTAGAAAAAAATCAGAGCTGAAACGTGAAGGCTGACCTCTTCCAAAGCACGCAGGTCATCGCCTTCAGTCCACAGGTGATAGTGTCTTGTATGGGTACTGTAAGATAGCATCCACCCTCTGTTCTCAAACGATGGTTTACAGTTTTATTTAAAACATTGTCACTGGCTTCATTAACTGTAAGTCTTTGGACCTCTCATCGAGGGGAAGACATTTCCTGCCACGGCTTCTTGAGCTGCTGTTTGTTGCTTGGCGGCTCCTTGTTCTTTTTGCTCTGCACACTGCTTTCAGCTTCTTATCAGATGCAGGTGATGCTCAGGGTGAGACTGTTGCTTCACTTCCTTTTACGCTGTTTAGCAGGAGATCTGAGGTGTGACTGGAATTGCCTTTCTGCTTACGAATTTCCTTTTCCAAGCCAAACGCTGTTGGAGAAGGCCTCAGGTATCTCTCACAAATGTACTAGCCGTTACTTCTACCATGAAGTTAGTGCTATGAACGGAGAATAATCATCTGGTGTGCTCTGCTGAAAACAAACATTTCTGCCCTTTTCTGCTTTCTGAGGTGGTGTGTGGTCTGGGGTGCAGGCTAAGCTGCTTGATTTGCAATCTTCTGAAAAGCTGGAGAACCGGGTGAGTCTCTGGGTCTGCAGTTCCCTGCTGGCCTGAGCTGCTCTGGTTCTTCCTCTGACCCTGCTGTTGCTTTGTGCCCCCCGCTTTGCGCTGCCGCTGGTGCTTGTTGCATCCTACACTGGTCGGTGTGCTACACACGCAGAGGAGGTTTGCTTTGTTGTTTCCGTTGTTTTTGTAATTTAATGCATTGACAGGGTGCTAAAGTGCCAGCCTATCTGCAGGAGAATTTCTGTGAAGATCGGTGAAGGGGACAGAAAAGAGTTGTGTTTGTTTTTTTTTTTTTTAAATATATGTATTTTAAATTAAATATATTTAAATATATTTAAATATTTAAAGTGTATTTTCCCCTCCTCTAAGCTTTTACACAGAAAGAGTAGAAATACACGTTTTCCCAGGCCCACTCATTGCATGAGCCAGCCCCTCTCTATCAGACTCTGCACCAGTGGTTTCCTGAGGTACTATTGTAATGTCCCTCCTCTTCCCGAGCTGCCAGAGTGTATTTTGATTCCCAGCCTCATGGCTGAGCGCTCCTTGGTTTATGAGTTATCATCCTGTTCGCAGACTTGCTCTGCTTTCAGCTGCCTACGTGCTACGCGTCCACAGCTCCAGCATTAAAACGTTTGGTATCGCTCTTTTCCAAGCGTGTCGTTTCTCCGATTGCCTTGCTTATTCTTCAGTTGCAGCGCACCGTTTCTTGCTGCGATGTCTATGGACAGTGTGCGCACTTCAGTGTGGGAGGTCATATCTCAGCTTTACTGCTTCGTATGCAGAACCCACCTTTGTGCCGTGGAGACGGCCGGTTTCAGCTGCCCTGGGGCTGCCTCTGCCCTGGGACTGGAAGGAAACGTGTGTCCCGGAATGAAAATAAGTGTTGGGTTTTTGGGATGCTGTCCCAATTCAGGTTGGCACTGATGTCCAGTTTAAATAAATGATGCGCACAGCGATGCTTGTGACTCGCCAGCAGTGGGGTGGGACCGTAGTTCCGCTGGTTGCCTGCCTTTTCTTTGCTGGTAGCCTCTTGGAGATAAAGATTGGTGTGGGATTGATGGACTCAGACATTTGTGTAAGACTGTAGCTTCCCCATGCAAAGCACTCGTGGTGTGAGACGCTCTCTGCCTGTTTTGTTAGGGCACTTGCACATCGTGTGCACCCAACGGCTTTCCTAAGATTCAGCGGGAAGACTAAACATGGGCAGCAAAGTATTTCTCATTTCTTTTTTTCCCCCCGCCCACACTTACCTGCCTGTCAAAAAGAGAGCATGTCCTGACATGGTCTTTACATCAGTTCTTTGCCAGATCGCGGAAGGACCACGAGCTGGGCAGCCTTGGGCAGGTTGGCTTTCAGAGTGGCCCCTACCCTGCCGGCTGCTCGTCTCCTCCTACCGATTCTTCGCACATCACTGAATGGGTTGGTTTGTACCTTTAGCCAAACTTCAGCCCCTTTTCAGCTGGTCTGTGGTACTTCTCTGGGGGCTGTTGGCTTGCTTTCAGCTGCCACAGGTAGGTTTTAACTTCTTCATAATGTGAGCCCGCGCAGGACAGCAAGGTGACGCAGAAGGGAGAATAGCTGACCCAGTGGTCCCCAAAGCCAGGGCATGTCTGAGGTGGCCATGGGTGTGCTCGTCATACCTACAGCATTACAGAGCCAGTCCTCCCAAGGCGGGGG